TCCCCGCGGCCCGCCGGCTCCGCGCCCACCTCCACGGCGCCCTGACGCCTCAGGAACTCCTTCAGCGGGGTCAGCGTGCCCGCGGGGATGCTGTCCAGGGGCACCGACTTGAACGGCAGCTCTCCCGGCCGGCGGCCGGGGTACCGCCGGGGCGTCACGATCATCTCTGCGCCGGAGACGGGCCGCGGCCCCTCACGGCGGCGGGCCGGTATCCCCCCTCCAGGCTACGGCTCCTCACGGCGGCGGGCCGGTATCCCCCCTCCAGGCTACGGCTCCTCACGGCGGCGGGCCGGTACCTCCCCTCCAGGCCGCGGCCCCTCCCGGCGGCGGGCCGGTATCTCCCCCCAGGCCCCGCGCGCGCCAGCCGCCCAGCCCGCCCTTACTCTCTGAGAGGAATTTGAGCGCGGCCGCCGCGCCCGGATTGGCGGAGAAGGCTCGTGACGTTACGGCCGGCCCGGGCAGCGCCAAGCGGGCTTGTGGGGGGGGGAAACGCTGCCGTGCGGCGGGTGGGGAAGGGCGCGTAGGGGGGTGGCACCCCCGGAGGGATGGTGCGGTCGGCACCGCCCGGCCACGCGGAGGGGCTGGCGACCGTTGGAGCTGAGGCGGTGGCCGGGCGAGGGGAAAGGAGGAGTCAGCGGTCGCTCCGCTGCGCTCCTCAGGGGCAGGCAGAGAGGGTTTACCCGGCGCTGGGGAGGCAGCGGCTGTGTGGAGCCGCCGCTGAGAGAAAGGCGGGTGGGGTCTCCCCTCCTCGGCCTCGCCGGCTGCCCGGAGCAGCGCGCGGGCGCTGAAGGAGCGCGGCGCCGGGCGCCTTAGGAGGAGGAGCCCGGCGGGGAAAGGTGACAGGCCGGGGACGGGCCCGTGGGACAGGGCGCTGGGAGGGACCCGCAGCCCCTCAGGGAGCGGGGCCGGTGCCCGCCGGACTGGGGAACAGGCCGGGCGGCTGCTGGCTGCGGGGGCAGGGAAGGAAAGGGGGTGCGAAGTGCGGCAGCACCTGTGAGAGGGGTCGGGGCCTGGCACCTGGGCTAGGAAATGACCCCCGGCTGTGGCTGCCTGTGGGATTTCCCAAAGACAAGGGTCTGTAACCGTTAGCTTGGGTGGGGGGGTGTAATTAGAGCTCTGAAAACACACCCCAGCTACTCTGTGTGCCCTGGCCGAAAGATGAAGTGGTAGAGCTTCGTATTTCAGGTGGGAAATGGGGAGTTCCTTGGGTAATACATAGAACAGAAATCACCAGCTTTACCCACCAGCTGGGCCCTCCCCGGATGAGGAGGCCAGGTGGGATCAGCTGTGCCTGGGGCTTGGGTTTGGCCAAGCAGGTTTAGGCTCAGAAATTGACCTTTGGGTAAGAAGTGACCCCAGTGTTTATTGTAATTGACCAGGTGCCCATTAATAAAGAATAGCTACATGTAAAAAAATAATAAAGTAGTTATGTTGGATAGTTTGGGGTTCTGTTTGGTATTTTTGGGGGGTAATTCATGTCTTTGGGCTTCTTACAGGAAATGCATGTGCTAATTAGTGGCCCAGATTATAGAGCAGACAATGACCCTGTGCTTGCTGTTACCCAGAGTTGATAAGATTTCATATGCAGAGGAGAAAGAGCCAGGTACAGAGCTGTTGGTGATGAGAAGCAGAGGTAGGTGTGTCTCTGGGGAGGGGGGCCATAAGCTATAAAGAAAATAGTTCATCGAGAAGCATGTTTTGGGAGGTTATGTGGCCTTGGAGCCTCTCGGTGAGGGTTTCACGTGCTTCTGAGCTGTTCCCAGTTAAAGAAGAGACAGAGTGTCTGCTGTGGGAGGCAAAAATCTGTGAGTGCACAAGCTGGGCGAGTGCTGCATGGTACACAGTGGTGTACGGACACGCAGAGGCCAAGAGTGAGCATTTCAGGAGGTGTTTGGTCACTGAAGGGATCTCTGGGAGCTCTGCTGGTGTCTGCTGCTGGCCCTGGCTCCCCACACTGCGGCCCTTGGGGGAGCTGGGGTCCCAGAGGGAAGAGATGGGGCTGGTGGCCACGTTGGTGGGGAGGGCAATGGGGAAAAGGAAAGAAGAGCGTGAAAAAGCCAAATGAGGAATGACAAGAAAAGTCTGTATTTACAGTTTACATTAGTGTGTACGTGTCTGGTTGTGGTTTGTACAGGACTGACTGCACAGCTGGTGTGGGCTCAGCCTGGCTGGCACAACACTGGTAACCTGAAAGTAATAGCAATCTCATTAGTACAGTGTAATATTATTAGGTTCTAACAGTGTATATTGCCCTCTAATGGTTCAATTCCTCTTAAAAAGCAAAAAAAAACCCATGTTCAAGCCACAGTTTACTCCTTATCTCTATTGATATCTTATTACAGAATCACCGTGGTTAGAAGGGACCTCTGAGATCATTGAGTCCAACCTTAATAAAAACAAAACAAAAGCCAACAAAAAAACACCAACAACAAAACAGAAAACACAACACCCCACCACATCACACCCACCCACAACCCCACAATCTCAGGCACTAGAGCATGCCCTGAAGAGCCACGTCTACACATTTCTTAAATCCCTCCAGGGATGGTGACTCCACCACCTCCCTGGGCAGGCTGTTCCAGGGCCTGACCACCCTCTCAGGAAAGTCATTCTTCCTGATATCTCATCTAAACCTCCCCTGCCCCAACTTCAGACCATTTCCTGTGGTCCTGTCATTTTTCCCTTGGGAGAAGAGGCCAACCCCCACCTCTCTACACCCTCCTGTCAGGGAGCTGTAGAGGGCAATGAGGTCTCCCCTCAGCCTCCTCTTCTCCAAACTAAACATGCCCAGTTCCCTCAGCCTCTCCTCCTATGACTTGTTCTCCAGACCCCTCCCCAGCTTGGTGGCTCTCCTCTGGACACGCTCCAGCACCTCAATGTCCTTCCTGTAGTGAGGGCCCCAGAACTGAACACAGTACTCGAGGTGAGGCCTCACCAGTGCCCAGGACAGAGGCACCATCACTGCCCTGCTCCTGCTGGCCACGCTGTTCCTGACACAGGCCAGGATGCTGTTGGCCTTCTTGGCCACCTGGGCACACTGCTGGCTCATGTTCAGCCGGCTGGCCACCAACACCCCCAGGTCTTTTTCTGCTGGACAGCTCCAGCCGCTCTTCCCTGAGCCTGTAGCGTTGCCTGGGGTTGTTGTGACCAAAATGCAGGACCTGTCACTTGGCCTTATTGATCCAGTTGAGGCACTGATCCAGTCTGTCCAGGTCCCTCTGTAGACCCTTCCGACCCTCAAGCAGATCAACACTCCCACCTAGATTGGTGTCATCCTTACTGAGGGTGCACTCAATCCCCTTATCTAGATCATCAATAAAGATATTAAACAAGACTGGCACCAAAACTGAGCCCTGAGGGACACCACTGGTGACCAGTCGCCAAACGGATTTCGCCCCATTAATCACAACTCTCTGGGCACAGCCATCCAGCCAGTTTTTTATCCAGTGTCCATGCCATGATTCGTCAGTTTCTCCAGGAGAACGCCAGTTTCTCCAGGAGAATGGTGTCAAAGGCCTTACCAAAGTCCAGGTAGACAATGTCCACAGCCTTCCCCGCATGGAGAAAGCGAGTCACATGGTCATAGAAAGAGATCAGGTTGGTTGAGCAGGACCTCCCTTTCATAAACCCATGCTGGGTGGCCCTGATCCCTTGCCTGCCCTGTACTTGCTGTGGTCCATGCAGGTGTAAAAGGCCAGTTGGACGGAGTGAATCCCTCCCTACTGGTGCCCAGCAGGGAGCCTGCCTTGGCCAGAGCTGTTACAGCCCCGCATGGCCCTGGCTGTTCCAGCAGGAGTATCTAATAGGGTTTCATCAGTGGCAGAGCCAAGCTGGAGCACAGAGCCATTCACTGGCAGAGATAAGAACATGTCTCTGCCTTAGCCTTGAAATTGCTTTTACCAGGTTGTAGTAGTTGTTGGTGTTACTCGCAGGGTGTGTATCACTTCTCTGGCTCTCTCTGGTGAATCATCTCAGGAATACTGATGGAGGAACAAGTGTGACCTCTGGAGGAGAGCTCAGGATAGCTGTGACTACATGACAGATAAGCTAAAGAGCTATAAAACCGGTAAATACTCTTGTTTCAGGACATCTGCTCAGCAAAGTGGGGTTAGGAGAGAATGCCTCCTCAGAAATGTTTTAGTTTTATAATTCTGTCTGTAACATAGTGATGGGTCAGGACAGCTTATGCCAGGCCCTGGGCGAGGTGCTCTAGAGGCACCTAAGCCAATCACAGAATCTTCTAGGTTGGAAGGGACCTTAAAGAGAAGACAGTTGGTGGAGGGGATGGAATTGAGGAAAGCAAGGAGGCAGCGTTGATCAGGGTGGTGAGCGGTGCTCTCAGCTTCCCCACGGTCTAGACAGCAAGGGTTTTGGCTGGTTCCATAAGGAACCGAGATGTGCTGTGTCTCTCCAACCCTGTTCCTGTCCATCCCTCCCTCACCCCCGACTCCTGGCCAGGGATTTTGGGTTCATTGGTTCGTGTCGGTCACAGTTGATGGAGAAACTCAAGTTTGGAGGGAAAAGAGTGGGGACCAGATAGGTCTCTTCTCTGCTGTTTGTCCTAGGATGAGTGAGGAGGGATGTTTGCTGAGCTGTGAAGGTGTGTGTGCTGGGATCCCCCAACTGCCAAGCGCCAGGAGCTCTCCGTTGTAGTGGCTGGCTTCAGGGCAGGCTCAGGAGAGGGACACGTGGTGGTGTGGCAATTTGTAACTTCTTACAGATGAAGCAAAACAACTTAAAGCCTAAAATTGCTTCTGTTAAGTGTGCTAATTAAAATTCCCAAGGCCTATTCATTGCCATGATAGAAAAGTATCCAATATGGACTCCGATCCAGTTTTGTTTGGTGCATGGAGATGGACTAAATGTCTTCAGCTACAGTGTTAAGCTGCTAATGTGCTAATTTGGGTAAGCATATTTAAAAAAAGGTTTAAAACCAAATGAGTGCTGTTAATCAAACATTATCAAGATGCGTGTT